GGCTGATAGCTCCTTACTGTCTCCTACTTCTGTCTGTAAACCACTCTTGTGTGCTGGACATGAATTTGCGTGGTTAAGAGCCTCATTTGTCCCAGAAATGGCAATATTTTTCCTCATCCAAAGGACCAAGTCCTCTGGCAGACCACTACTTTACTGATAGGTTTAGTGTCACAAGTTTTGTTATAGTGGCTCTCTATATTGTTATAGTGGCTCTCTAAATTGTCCTTTAAACCAGGGTTGTTCTCTCTGAGTTCTCCTCATCCTTTTTAGTGATACTGCCTTCTCTAGTACATCTTGTTCCTGGCGTGGTGAAGGGTTCATGCTGACTACCAGCATTCCCCCTCAGGGTTGGACACAAATGATCTGTGCATTCTGATATTTCTGTCTCAGAAGCATGGAAATATCACTGGATTATGCATTTGCTAAAAGGGGGAGATATTTAGAACCATAAAGGGAAATTAGGAGATCAACTCCCATTGAAATTCAATGGGAGCTGGGTGCCTAACTTCCATTTGTGCCTTGGAAATCTTCCCCCAATTGTCTCAGTACATTTGCTAAAAATGTACTGACTGTTCTTCCCATGATTTCACTTTCTAAGAGGTAATGTTATCTAGGACTTCAGCTCATCCACACACACCCATCTTGCCTGATTTACTAGATTTTGTTTCCATTCTTTGTTCCAAAGCTGGAGTTTCCAAAAATATGTTTTTCTTTCTGTGTTCAGCAGCAGCATTTCAGCATATAAAGGGGAGCAGAGAATGCCAACTGCAGCCAGCCAGCCAGCAAAACTCTGACAGCAGTTCTGCCTTGCTGCAAACTTCCCACAGGAATGTTTGCATCTGGATCCTAAAATCTAGATACTGCTAGGGAGGTGGGCCAGAGCCCCAGGGGGACGCAGGTCCAAGTTCTGACATTCTGCAGTGTGGATGCAAGTCAAGCCATAGACCCGAATCTGTCAAGTGCAGTATGGATGTGTTAGCACAGCTGTGAGACCCGGGTCCAGCAACTACAAATCCAGATTCACAATACAGTGTGGACACTCAAGCACAGGCTTGGAAACACCCAGTTCACAAGCCTGGTTCCCACCGTCCCAGGTTTAGTGTGCAGTGTAGACAAACTCTAGGTGGCTTGGGAACTTCTAGGAATGTTTCCTCATGTAGCAGCTCAATTTGAGCAAGGGCAAGGAAGGTCTTGTGGCTAAAGTACAAGAATGGGAGTAACCAAACCGGGTTCTATTCATGGATCTGTCCCCATGATTATGGGACAGTCACTTAGACCACATTTTTAATAAGTGGCCACTGATCTTGGGTGCTTCAACTTCTGGGTGCCCAACTTTATACAACCTGGGCCTGACTTTCAGATGTGTAGAGCACCCTGCAGCTCCCATGGTGAAAATGTGGCTGCATGCCTCTCTGTGCCTCAGTTTCTCCATTTGTAAAACCAGGATAAGATTTACCTATCTCACAGGGGGATAATGAGGCGCAATTCATTAATACTGAAGTTACTGGATGAATGGAACTATTTATAGAAGTGCAAAGTGTTGCTATTCTTAAATATAAATTGTCACTCAAGAACAATACACTGAGCATCATGATATGCATCATATGGGACATGCTATTTTTATATTGACCAATAAATTTTTAGTGACTTCTGTCTCTTCTGTAAAAAGTTACTTATTTTACCTTTATTTCCCCCCAACACACTTGTTAAGGAAATGTTTCGGGCCAGCCTGTGGTATTTAACAAAGGAGGCATAATCCCTCCCTGAGCTCCCAGCACACAGGGGAGGGCATGTCCCTTTGGATAAATCATGCTCCCCCTGACTCTACAAATTGTGGGACAGGGTCTGAACCAAAGACCCGCTCCTTTCCCACCCCTCTATGTGTGGATTTCCATTCCTGGGTGTGCATGGAGGGAACAGTCTCTGCCCTGGCCCTTGTATGGAGTATGCAAGTGGAGTGGGAGGCCCCTTGAACCAATACCTTTCCCCACAGCTCTCCCACACCATGACCAGGGACAACTTAAGTCTTTTTGTAGAATCTTTCTCCTGGAAAGCTTCTAAAAGTTCCTTGTTTCCTTCCAATATTCTTAAGTCCCTTTATTTTAGGATTTACCGAAACTTTCCTGGGTTTTACAAAAGCCATTATTCAGTTTTTACTGATTTTTTTTTTCACCCAAATTTTGGAAATGCCAGAACTCTCCAGAACCAGCTCCCTGCTCCAGAAGGCAACCTGGACCGCGCATCTCTCCTTCTGGAGCGGGGAGCCAGGGCAGAACTGCTGGAATTAGTTGCTGGTGTACATTCTGTTGTCTGATCCATGCCCACCACGTACACGTTACTAGCTTTACAGACAGCAGAGATAGTTGTCAGCATTCAAAGCAAATAAAAGTTAGAGAACTACTTTTCTTGCTAAAATGGATTGAAAATGAAAAGCTGTATCTGACTACATTTCAGAACAAAAGGGGCTTTCCTAAAAGTTTAAAGACACAAAAACAGAAGAGAGTGACATTTACCCTGATATTTATTCTGGAAAACTCTAAGGATTTTGCTTTTGCACTATGACAGGTTTCAGAGTAACAGCCGTGTTAGTCTGTATTCGCAAAAAGAAAAGGAGTACTTGTGGCACCTTAGAGACTAACCAATTTATTTGAGCATGAGCTTTCGTGAGCTACAGCTCACTTCATCGGATGCATACCGTGGAAACTGCAGCAGACATTATATACGCACAGCGATCATGAAACAATACCTCCTCCCACCCCACTGTGGGGTATTGTTTCATGATCTCTGTGTGTATATAATATCTGCTGCAGTTTCCACGGTATGCATCCGATGAAGTGAGCTGTAGCTCATGAAAGCTCATGCTCAAATAAATTGGTTAGTCTCTAAGGTGCCACAAGTACTCCTTTTGTTTTTGCACTGATTTTCACTGATTTTTTTTAACTTTTGTAATAAACACTAATAAATTCCCAAGAAATTTTAAACAAAACAAACACTGAAAACAAAGGGCCTTAGACACCGTGTATATGTTCTAGCCTTCTTTCTGCAAAGGAGCTGTTCGCAAGAGCCCATTTGGTCAAGGCCATGACAATAATTCTTGCTATTGGCAGACATCTTCTAAGTCTTTATAGTGTCACACAATGATTCACTGTACAGTTAAGCATATGAAATGATGTGTGTGTATATAGTGTGGAGGCAAGTTGGATAGCATGGAATTTCTATCTTACTGGCTTTTTCTGCTATTTCAGTTGTTCCCCCGCTCCTCCAGCAGTTTGGCTTTAAAGTGAACCCAAAGCAGAACAAGCTGGCTCTACTTTACTACAATGCCTCCTACAAGACAGAGACTCCCGAAGACCTATTTTGACATATCAGAGGGGTATAATTCTGTCTAAATAAATTATTTTAAAGCTGACCATGTGAAAACCACTGGCTTTGGCTGTAGTCACCCAAGAAAACAACAATTTATTGTATCCTTTATCCCAGATTAAAGTTCCTAAATAATCCCTGTAAAGGTTTCAGTCCAATTAGTTTTATTTCATCTTTCAAATAGAATAGCAATTTGCTGTCCGGTGTTGGATAAATAGGCATTAGGCCTGTTGAGGGGCCCACACATTCCAGGATTTAGAATAATTTCCTCAAAGCTATCTCTAGAATCCTCCACAGATACCGATCCAGCATCAACTAATTCTGAAGTTGAAATTCATAGGAGCTAGGGGCAGGATGATCTCAATAACAGGCCTTCGCCCCTGGAATCCATTCCTACAGGAATATATATTTGAGCCCGAGCCCTGACCACTTTTGGAGTGGAATGTAAGAAACATCTGTGTCTCGGTCTCCGACTAACTGCTAGTTCCACAATCTTTTCGTATTCAGTGAGTAGGTCAAAACCTCTGCCTTTTAACATTAACTAAATTGCTGCTGCAGATTATATGCTGCCTACATTGGTGTTCAGGAGGTAGGTAGGAAATGTTATTCACTCTCATGCTAAACAAGCAAGGGGGGCCCTTACTAATGTGTATCATAATACATCATTAAAATAATATGCAAATAGTTTTGATATCAGACTCCTGCTGCTTCTCAATTTGGCCACTAAAATACTTGCTTCTTGTCAGTAATAGATTATGCTTGATTGGGGCTTTCTAGGAGAGGACTTGGTTGTGTTTTGAAGTCAATGGGAGCAGCAGGGGAGCTAATTTTGGCTGAATCAAGTTGGAAAAGAAAATATCCAGCCTTCATTGGGGGAAGATATTTCCACTTTCCCTGGACACCTGCCCCAGCTCTATTTTAGCTGCATACTTGTATGTATCTCACTAAAAGCTCAGTTGTCTGGGTCAGAAAAGGTCTGATTGAAGGAATGATATGGGGGTGGGGGAAATGAATGCTGGTTTATGGGAGATTTTTTTTTTTTTAAATTGTTTTTGCCTGGACATTAGGCCACCAAGATAGTGGAAGATTTTTTCCACTGATATTTAAAGGGAAAGAAGTAGATATTCTATGACCTAAATAGGTTGTCGGGTTGTATAAGTCCTCACAAAAGCTTCCACATGGGGGGCAGAAAGGCTTGTGAGAAGATAATATTTGGAACTGAAAACTGGCTCAAGAAATCCAAAGCAAATATGAATATTAGCGTTGCTGTACGGCCCTAGAAAGCAAACTAGAGAGAGAGAGAGACTAACCTTGGTTGACTCAGCTATCAGCATCTCTTGCTGTACTACGCTGATCCTTGTGACTTTAATTTTACCACTCGGCTTTAGCTTCTGTTGTCTCTCCAGCTCACTGTTAGTGTCAGTATTAAGCTGTCCTATCAGTAGATGTATATAGCTGTCGTGGTGTTTTGTTTTGTTTTGTTTTTAAACCCACACATCTGCACTTGCAAATCAGGAAACAAATACAGAAAATCTCACAGAGTGTAATGCGTTTCAGGAGATCTGTGTAATATTGCAGAGATTTTTGGACGGTGTGGAGGTTGTGTTAATTTCTTCAAAATCCACAATTTCTCATACCTTACTTGCTTTCAGTATTTCAAACATCAAAGGCAACCCATGTGTGATGAGCTCCTCAGTGTACTCTTCCTCCTGAATGGATTTAAATTCCTTTAACAAGCATTGGATGAGAGGCCGTCTGTGCTGCTGAAAGGAAGTTCGCAAAGACTCCAACCATGTATGTAGTGTCCATGGAACTCCTGTACAAAAAGATGAATTTTAAAGGTATGTGTATATTCCAGACCATCACAGAATGAGGCATAGCTAATTTGTTTTTTAATTGTATGACTTTAGGGCTTGTGAATGGTGCCAAATTGAAAGCCCTAGAAACTGACCTCCTATTTACCCCACAAGTAATGCCCATCAATATGCCTCAATCCTAATCTGCAGGGACACGCCTCCAAGTATAAGAAGGTAGTCCAGTCCCAGGTTCAATTCCCTGCTCTGCCACAGATTTCCTGTGTGACCTCAGGCAAGTCACTTAGTCTCAGTGTGCCTCAGTTCCTCATCTATAAAATGGGGATAATAGCACTTCCCCATCTCACAGCAGTTGTTGTAGGGATAAATTTATTACAGAGTGTGAAGTACTTTGAGACCTACTAATCACAGGTGCTGACTTGTTTTTGCCAGTGGGTGCTTTGTGCCTTCTTGTTTCACTATGCATCATGTAAGTACTCCTGCCACCGACCGGTAGCTCAAGGGTGCTGAGCACCCCCTATAGTTTTTTTTTTCAGTGGGTGCTTGAACCCCAGAGCACTCACAGAGTTGGCACCTATTCTACTAATGAAAAGTGCTATATAAGAGCTAAGTAATATTATTTAGCCTCTCTGCTGAGCCAATTAGTGTTCACTGCAGTGGTGATTTGTGATGTGGACCTCATCTAGGAACTAGATTTATGCCACCGCACTCATTTGCAGTGGGCTACCAAGGAGACATCAGACAGTAAAAACATCTAGTCACTGCCAACTTTGGCTGGATTTGAACCAGTGACCTGGAGAGGAAAATGTTTATATCTGCCTCATCACTCCTCCAAACCATGCATCCCCATTTATGTTGATACAGCATCAGGTGGGTCAGAAGGTCCCATTTTTACAGTTACTTGTCAGAGCAGAACTGCACTTTAAGAATGTAAAAGGAATTGCTATCACACACTAAATAAAAATTGCAGTAGTAGAAGACAGATAAATTAGTCCAAATCATATTCATTAAGGAATGGATTGTAGACCAACCTACATGCCTGTGTGATGGCCATCTTGGCTGACACCAGAGATTAAATTGAGGACCTGCAGAATTAAAAGCATAAACTGCTACAGCTTGAACTAAACAGTCAAGTCTCTTTGACCACGAGTTGTAACAACTCATATCCTCTGGGGATCGGCACAGTGTGGGACCTGTAACACACACTCACCAATGGGTTACATTTTCAGAAGAGTGCAAGAGGAAATATAACCCTCCTCTCTCCTGTCCACACCCTGGATCTTGGGTCCTTATAGGTGCTGCATGCCCACTTCTCCCCTCCATCCCTACAGGTGGGCAAGATCTCGAGTCCAACCGTCCCCTCTCCCACTGCCATGAGATCCTTTCACATTCACTTAGTAGGAGGTGCTTTGTTAGACCAGTTGCACAACCATTCCATCCCTGTGTGTTTATGCAAACCTGTAAAAGGTTGTAACTCAGAGTAGAAATCATGATCCATGTGACAGGATTCCAAGACTCAAGTGTTCTTGGATATAGTGCTCAGAAGCATGTTTGGCAGAAGAAGTCTTTTGGTCTCTCACTGAGCACTGATTAACACATGTTGTAAAACAGTCAACAATCAGAACAAAACGGTTTCCTTGAGCAGTGACTGACTGGCCCTGGAGAGGGTGTTTGAAAGGGTCGCAGAGCTATGTGATTAGTGCGCTGAGCAAATTCACTGCCTTTCTCCCCCAGGAGGGTTGCAAGCAGCAAAAGGGGGAAGGTTCTGTGACATTTGGGAGGTTGGTGCTGGGAGGAGCGTGGTGTTTGGAAGCAGATGGGTGGTTGTGAGAGCTGGTGCATGAAGAGCTGGCACAGCTGCCCCAGAACTGACATTTTAGTTGGACACCTAGCTAAGCAGAGGTGAAGAAGCCTGCTGATGGGAGCCAGCCCTAGCAAATCATCCTTTCTTCTGAGCCAGGCATCAGAGTGCTTATTGGGAACCACCACGTGCCAGAGCCTACAAAGCGGAGCAACTGAAGCATTTTTAACGAATGAGTCCTAGGTGTGCCTGGCATTCTACCAAGAACTGAGGCTGAAAAGACCTGGTGTATCCGTTCTCCAGCACCTCCATGTGAGGGGGTGACTACAGCTGTAAGTAGGTCATGCTCTGTGGCTTACACCCAACTGCCTGAAGGGCATCTGAAAAACAATGTTTGAGTTCGCCTAATTGGAGTAGGTGATTCCATTCATGACGCAACATAACAGAAAGAAACCTGTCTAAATGTATATGAGATTTGCCACATTTTGTGATGTGTGGCATACATGATTGTGAAAAGAAAAGCAACTCACATGCCATGCAGAGAAGATTATCTTAGTCAGCCATGGCTCCTTGGCATTAAAACAAAACTGACTCAATGGATCCTCCAAGAGTCACAGCTTTACACCCAGTTTACACTGACTGACTCTCCTCCCCGGTTCTTCAATCCCACACACGTGAAATTCCCCCAATTATTGCTTTAATAAAAACTCAGGAACATTCAAATGTGGTCAGTGTGAGTGACAGGCATTGCTCCCACCAAAACATACATGACAGTTGTCTCTCATGGGAGGTAAAGTGCAGAGGACATCAAGACTGACCTATGCTCCTTATGTCAATAGTGACATCCACATATCCATGCTCGGCGCTGTGGTACATGGCTTCTTTCAGTGCTTTCAGTTTGGCCTTGCTGTTGCGGCTGGCACACAAAGGAGCTGGTGCAGCATCTGCCAAGTCAGTTCCCTCAGCCAGTATTTCCTCCAGGGACAGAATATCACTCTTCTCTTTCTCTGGCTGAGCAAGCAGCTTACGAAATACATTCCTGTCAGCCACAATGCAAGAGAGAGAAAATCAGAGTTAGCTACTGTGTTTTCCTTCTGCCCGGGATATTGGCTGCAACATGGCAGGCTTGGAAACCTATTCAGAAGGCCAATCAGGAATTATTTTACGAAATGTTAATTCACCTAGTGCTCAGTTCCTGCAGCCCTCATGCAGGCAATACTCCTACCAGTTCAGGAGTTGTGCCCGTATCATAGCTGCAGGACTGGTTCCGTTGCTCTAACGAATGGCAGCCGCACCGTACAAATGTCACGTGTACAGCAGAAACTTAAATCAGAAACTTATGATCGAGCGGTGACTGTTAAATGATTAAAAGCCTGTGTGGAAAACCTTGGCAGAAGCTATCCCACACTACGGGAAAATGGAGTTGTCTTTAGAAACTCGTTAGTGCCTTTCACAAAGGATGCATTTAGTAGCAAATAATTGATAGAGATGAAACTTAAAAAGGGAGCTGTCTAAAACCACTGAAAACACCATCATTCTCAATTAACAGTCAAAGCAGTCTCGGTAAAGCTGGAGCTACAAATCATTCAACTACATCTGGCAGGGCAGGTTCAAGCAAACCTGGGACCCCAGCTGCAAAGCCATTTATTTGGGCACTGAGCTGCAAGGCCCCAAACTCAGCAGTAGGCATGATAGTCCACTCCCACCAGGTTTAGAGCAGTGTAACTCCATTGACTTCAGCGGAGCTACTCCTGGTTTATGGTGTTGTGAGAGGAGAATCAGACCCAGCGTGCAATTTCTCCCCAACCTCCCACCTACCTCATGCACTTATGTTCTGGTAGCAGCACACATTCAGTTCCACGGGTAGGGGCAGTGCTTAATTTGTAATGAAAGAGGTGTCGGGGCTCAAGTCATTTTATTTCTTTCATAACTGATGTGGCAAGTCCAGAGGTGCCAGAGCTGTGAACTGCAAGTCCTGCCACAGATTAAGCATTGAGTAGGGGTAGGGAGCAATGGGTGTGTGTGGGAGAGAATAAGCAGTGTGTCCTGGATAACTGAGGGACGGCTAGCATGGGTGGCGGGTATTGAAGACCAGGGGAGGCTAAGCCTCCCCTAACCCAGGCCATGGCCCCACCCCGATCTGCCTGCGGCCCCGCCCTCACCCCCCTCTCCCCTGAAGCCAGTGGGGACTCCGCTCCAGCTGGTGGCCTGGAGCTTGGGGCTCGGGCCAGCTGGCGGCCTGGGGTGGCTTGGGCCAGCCTGGGGGTCTGGCCAGCTGGTCAAGCTGGGGCAGCTCAGGCTAGCTGGCATGGCTGGGGTGGCTCAGGTCGGCATGGCTGGGGCAGGCCGGCTGGGGCTCCTCTGGCCATAGGGTGGGTGTCCGCTCGGGGCTCTGTCGGGTAGGGGGGCTAGCCTCTCTGAAGGGGGAGTTCACTTGCCACCCATGATGTCTAGAGGTGTGTATGGGTAGAGGAATAGTGGAGGGAGCTTTCCTGTAAAACTAGTTGGGGGAGTGGGGAGAGTGTGAATCTGTGATGTGCCTCAGCCGGTGCACAATATAGGGGGGGAAAGCCTTGATTTCCACAAGGGACGCTGCTCTGCAGCGCTCTCTGACAGCACGAAGCATCTCCCACTCCACACCATTAGGCACCGCATGGGCATTTTAACAAACTCGTCCCCTCTCACCCCGCCCCTGCAAGAGGCCGCTCTTTGGCTGCAGATGGGCAGCATTGTCTGAACCAGCCCTGACAGCTACATAGCATATCATGAGGCTGTTAGCTCTTTTCTCTAAGCAAACATAATGTAGATACTGTCTCTAACCTGCATCTACGTTCCTCTGGAAGGCTACAAGTAGAAAAGTATGAATGTGAAGGTCCTAATACTAATCCATAATATTGTAATTAGTACCTGGATTTTGCACAAATAACTGTTCATACATATCAGTTGTTCATTTAATTTATTTTTTAATTTATAACATGCTCCCAACACGCTGTCTCTGGACACACACATAATGTTAACACAAACAAAAATATCAGCACTTACAAAAAAACCCCACTTTGTTTAATGACAGTTATGGCTGCTGCAGGAAACTCACACCACACACAAACCCTTTAGAAATATGTAAATACATTCAGGGAAGTCCTCCAGCACTCCCTGGAACTTCAGCATTGACTACAACTTTGTAAACAACAAACTGCAACACTTCAGAAGGCATTCACATCCATTTCCACATATCGAAAAAGCAACGGGCACCTCAAACTGATCAAACTCATACACTAACAGAAATCCCTCAATCCAATCTCAAGTCTCTTATACCAAAAAGGGGCACATCTGACTGTCACACTATCCACACATGTGCAGCAGAATTCTACTTTAACACTGAAGACCATACATCAGTCCCTCCATGTCAGCCTCCCAGGCAAACCATAATCACTTGACCCATGCAACAGAGACCCATTCCCACTCTACCTGTGTCCATGTGCAGCAGCCTGACTGAAAGAGTTCATGTCACCTTGTGGAGTCATGGAAATTCCATTTCTGTACATTGTTCCTATCATGGGGTCAGCGCCTCGCTCCAACAGCAAAGTCACCAGTTCAAAATTTCCTGTACGCCAAGAGAGATTTTAATTTTTTTAAAGTCCAATATTTTTGCAACTAAGTCACATTTCCCAATTGAAGAGTTTATTCCAGCAGAAGGAGAGTCCTTACCAGCAGCTGCTGCCAGTTGCAAAGGAGTTTCCGAGTAATTTTCCTCTCCATGCTCTAAAGAACCTTCTACCTTTGCTCCAGCATCCAGCAACAGCTATAAAGAAAATGCACCATTTAGAGTTGTTGGTGACATCACAAAATTCAGAGTTTATGAATCGTGAGAAATTGAAGTTTAATATTTATCATTATCCACACATCGGATGCAGTGAAGACAAGTGACATGCAAATTTTTTTTCTATTATTCAATTAGTTCTTTTTCACTCACGATACACTGTCAGACTCCTAGAGTATTAGTGAATATTCCAAAGCCAAACAAGTACTACCCAATGTTCCTGACCTGGGCAGAAGATCAGTAGTGTGAAGTAATGTACTAGATTGAGGCACTCAAACTTGGCCTAACCAACAGCCTCACTGACAGCTTGCCTGGAGCCCCACATACTTTTCATAAAATGGACGAGATTTCAGTTGTCTCCGTCTTTAATAGAGAGATGTTTCCAGAAGAGAAGAGGGTTTCAGGAACAAGTTGTAGCAATGCATGCTGGAACCGGCAGTCTCCTGGGGTACATTTCTATTTCATTATTATTATTAAAGATGAGGCTGGCCATGGACAGCACTACAGAATCGGAGGGGACACATTCAACCTGTCTTTGGCCATCCATACCCTAGATCTCCTTTGTCTAGTGATTCATTAATTGTGCCATGTTGACACAATTACTTTGAAAAACAATCTCTCTCAACTCTTGATATGCCATACCACAAAGCCAACATATTCACGTCTTTTCATGTCTGGATAAAGTGATTGAGCACTCCTCTGACTATGGAACAACTCAGAGGATTTTTTTCTGAAATGTCACATGTATTATAATATTTTAATAAATGCAAATATTGTTAAGAGTGTAATGAATGAATAAACAAACACATACAACGAATGGTCAGAAAGGAGCATGAGGAGTTGACGGACTTTCTTTGATGCAACTGTACTTTAAAATTGTCCTATTTAAACCTCATATTGGTTAAGATTTGGAGGCAGAGATCACCATGTCAGATCAGTAAATGATAGAAGAAGTAACCAATATGAATATGAGAGGGGTACCAGGCTTGAGATGGATGCAGATTACAACCCAACTGGATAAATAAAAAGTGAGATGCAGGTAGGGAAATACAGTAATACCTGAACTACAGGAATATGTCCATGCAACACAGCAAATGTCAGAGCTGTCCAATGGCGGGTCTCGGGGTGGACGGATGGATATTTATGAGCAGTACTGACAACCTATAAACAAATTAAAGTTATTTTCTTTTAAAATGGGCTTCAAAGAGCTTTAAATAATAAAACTCAACCTGCCTGAAAGCTAGGCACATGGGTATAAGTGATAGAAAAAAAACCTCAGAAAATGATTGGTTCTATATATTTTTTCCAGCAGAGTTTTTACTTAGGAAGAATTTTTCATGCTGTTTACTGAGAGATTGATCAAAGCTCATAGCAAATAAAGTCTCTTTTCCAACAGCTGTTGCTCCCTCTAAATCACTGCCTCCCAGCAACTTTTACAGAGTCAAAATTTGCACTAGGGCTTATGCCAACGCTCACTGAGGAGGTGGCTCTGTCAGGATGGTTACATGTAGGGACACTTCCTATTGACTTCAGGGGCTTCATATTATGCCACTCATTCTTCCCTGCTCCTGGGATTGCTTCACAGCATTCTGAGTTTCTCAAAAATCCTGGAGTGAAAACCTGACTCTAGTGAAATCAATGGGAGTTTTGCCACTAACTTCAATGGGACCAGGATTTCACCCCCGGTCTCAAGTTTAAAGACATGTAACCCATGTTGCTGTTCCTTGACTGGAAGCAGAAGACCGTTTAAAATGGATGGAGTCTAGCACCATTTAGAGGATATTTAAAAAAATCTGTTTGCTACTTTCTCCCCTTCTAGTTAAATCTAAAGGTGTGCTGGGCCCAAAATAACTAAAAACTGTTTTCTTTAAACAAAAAACCCTTTCATTTGCACATCAGTCCTTCCTCCCACTAAGCATCAATATTTAAAGCCTCTAATCTTGACCTTGGGCAACTGATGTAATTGTTCTGTGCCTCAGTTTCCCCATCTTTAATATGATGCAACTCACAGGGATAGTAACATTTTATGAAAGGTTATAAAGCACTTTGAGATCCTTGGATGGAGCATGACACTGAAGTGCAAAGTAATGATTGATTAATTAATTATTATTAGTCCATGGTAAGATAGCACCGGTAGAAGAACTGAAGTTGGACTGAACGAAGCATTGGCCAGCCACCCTGCGAAAGGCAGGGAGTTTTACATTCGCCATCTTATGTGCTCGGCGTCAGATGCTTGGCTGCATCAGCAGCCATCATGGCCAAGCTTCTGACATAATGTCCTGCTAGCCATCCCCAGGGCTAACATCAGGGGTGAGGGCAGAGAGGTAGTAGCTGGTGTGGCAGTCGTGGTTTGTCAGCTGAGGAGAGCTGCATGAGACAGTTGGCTGTGTCATCCACCCCAGCCAAAGAGAAACCTTGAGTTCCTGAAATCACTTCGCTCTGCTCTGCACACACAGAGCTCTAACACCAGAAGAAATGTGCTGAAGTCTAAACTTAGGCCTGTGACGTCTCAGAACCTGGGAGCACTGTGTAATGAATGGGGTCAAGCAGCTCCAGCCCAGCAGTAGAGGGAGAAGTAGCCGTAGACAAGGTGAATGAATAGGCTTGGTTCAGGATAAACTAGTCCCTAAATATAACCATGTACCAGCTAATTACATCCCATCTCACGTGGATTGGTATTGGCACAGGAAAGCTCAGGGAACTCCCTGTGGCGTACACTGAGGAAATGCAAGTATTAACATTTTATTTTATTTCATTTTTTAAATTTTAATTCTTTTTAGTGAATTTAGTGCTTGTGAATAGAGTGGGATTGACAACCCTGGAGACTAAAGTCCTCTAATTTTCTACAAAGCAATTACAGCACAGGCAAGCACCCCTCTAGGGATTAGAGCAGGGGAGTCAAATTCATTCTGTGGACAGAGCCAAATTAAATCTTCAGTTATGATCTGTGAGCCCTGACTAAAAATTTAGACTCAAGTGCTACCCTCAATCCATAGCAGAGTTCTCACTGAAAAATAAGAGTAAAATATGCCCTTATGTAGACACTAAGGCTGAGATTTTCTAGAACAACCTCTACATTTGGGTGCCTTTATTTTTTTTAAGATACCTAGGTTGGGCTTTTCAAAAGCACTTACCATTGGGGTAACTCTGCTCCCACTGAAGTCAATGGGAGTTTTACCACTGACTTTAATGGGAGTAGAGTTAGGTCAACACTGAGTGCCCCTCTAAGGCCTGACATTGACATTTGGTACACACAGCCACGCCTCTCACTGACTTCAATGTGAGTTTTAGGTACTCAGCATATCAGGAATCAGTCCCTGGAGTCTAAACTGGGGGATATTTGAGAGCAGAGACATCCCGAATTAGGGGTCACTTTTGGAAATTTGGGCCAAAACTTTTATTTAGCAAAGCAAAGTGGGGAAAAAATATACAGGGCAATTTCAAGAACACTTATTTCACCCTTTGTTTATTTGGCCTATATTCATGTAATCACCCAATTTGCACACATTATTGTGGTAACTGTATATACAAATTAGCTGTATAACTGCACACCTTAATTATTTGAAGATCCTGCTCTTGAAGTGTCATTATTTGATTTTAGTGAGAACTTTCCTTTGAGATCAACCAGGGAGGTTCAAACCCCTCTGAAAGCTATTGGTTCAGGTTGTCTTCAGACTCAGGAACACAATACTGCTTAAATTTATATGTAGTCCAAGTTTAGAAGGTTATTTACACAGCCACAAGGACTGAACTCCCTTTTTATTTGAAATGAAAGCTTGCATTCTGCAGAATCTGAATTTGTTAAGGGGGGGGTGGGGGGCAGAAAATAAGAGATGAACTCAGAAGGCCAGGTGTTTGACACCCTGGGTTGCAGGACAGGTCAGTCTCCATGCCTGTCAAATCTCTGGCCTCTTTATTGCGACTGCTATGAAGGGGGATAATTTTTGCCAACTGATGGTTGATTTGGGGGAGGGGGGGTTTGTTCCACTAGGAACTGAACTGAGCTGAAATCAACAACTGATTTCACATAAACCACCGAACAGCTATCAGATAGTAATGACTGTCAGTCACTATCGACCGGAGTGGATTCAAAGTGGTGACTTACAGGTGAAAAATTGTGTCCTGCCCCTAATGCCCAAACCATCCATTATCCTTTTTTCAATTAAATTAAAACAAACAAACAGACAAAGTAAAATGTCTCACTGAAAGTAGCAATTACACTTTAATGACAGCTTTCCTAAATCCAAACAGAACGGATGGAACACAGATAAGTGAATCAGATAGTTTAATTTATTCATGACCTCAACAAACTGAAATGATAAGTATTTACAAACATGACAAATAACTCTTCATGTATTTTAAATGGCTCTTTAAAAACTTATGCCACTCCATGCAACACGGGTAGGTAACAATCTGTTTGGTGGACAGACTGTATGTTTGTTACATATATTCACCAAGAGATATTTACATGTTGGAACCCTCCTTCGTCCACCAGCTTTCATCAAAGCCTTTTTATAAAACACAACAATGTACCTTATATTACTTGTGTGCTGTTGGGCGGTAGATGGACAGCTCAATGTATAAAAGTTCTCAAACTTGGGGACGGGGCATTTGAAAAGTGTGCTGCCTTGACCTCTCTATTTTAACTCACCTGCGATTCAGAAAGTCCCATCCTTTGCATTAGAATTATGACTCCTGAATGAGCAGCTTACATTTAAAGTTCCGGGGCTACATTCTATGCTAATTTACACTGTGCAATTCCAGCAAAATCAGTACTATTACATTGGGTGTAAACCACTGACAAACTGACCCTTTAAGCGCAATGGATCCCAATACTGAGGTGCCCCGGTAAATGCTGTGATCATTTCAATATTCATTTCAAATGTTAACGCTTTTGGTAACAGAATTTTATTTTTAAATGCCTTGGGGTTTTCCTCCTCTGCTATAATTTTAATGGGCTGTCTGAGATATAAACAAAGAAAGAAATCAAAGTTGTAATCATAATAAAATGTCCTCACCTCAACATTCAAATCTGCTCCAGCATCTAGTAGCATCTGCACCATAGCCTCATCACCCCTGACACAAGCATACATCAGTGGAGTCATGCCCTATTCATTGGAATTAAAAAACAAACAAAGGAATTGACAAATTTACAATAGAATCTTAAAAAAAAAAAGAGTTAGTGCTTTAAATGTATATTGTCAAGATAAACACTAAATGTTTAACAAAATCTTACCTCTGTTACAAACAACCCTTTAATATTATTAAAAGCTGAACATTTTAAAAATCTAAGTTACTGTTATCATTTATGTTGTTTCCTTTCTGCGTTTTACTCAACACAATGAAATCAGATTTGTCAGTTTCATTTCCTAGTTCTTGTATTCTAAATAAAGAACAATGTTGTCTTTGGGCTCCCAATAGTAGGGGAACGTTTCAATCCAAAGCAATAAGATTTCCAATGCAGTTAAAAAATAACAAATGAAAATACTTCCATTCATATTAAGGTTTTTGTAACTCTTGTTTTATAAAACCTAGAAGTTGAGTCTATACCTCTTGACAGTATCCCTTTAACAACATAATGAACTCCCTTTAGATACGTTAGACTCGAGCGCTGTCTATTCACTGTCAGCATTGTTAGCACTTGGATATCTAGAAGCTTTGTACACAGTCCTAAACAATTACTTAATTTTAAATGAAATGCCAGACAGCATTGTTGGAAGTTGCTAGCTCTAAGGATATGCTGCCCTATGAAAACTAGATTAGCTGACCCTTCACTACAGAAACTCTAATCTGCAATTTGTATTAGTCTGGAATACCCACTGCAGCTGATCAACATTTCCCTTAAGGTTAGTGTTATTTTGGCAATGGAAATAAGTCTAGATGAAATCATGATGGTATAATTAAATCTACCAAAATTACAGTACAAAAAGCTAATTATTAAATAAAAGCGGGGGAGGATCAATCAAGAGTGTGCTTGTTCCATGGCTAAGTTTACCACTGGACCATGGTACCTCTACTACATGTCTATTGTCTGTCTTATGGTCCCATATCAATTTCCTGTCACATGATCACACACTTTCTGCTTAATCTGTCCCTTGCCATAGAGCAAAATTATTTACAGAGACAAATGAGGTACTCAGAATGGGCAGAAGCTGAGCCACTGCACTGTTCTCTCTAGCAAGAACTGAGCTCCAGCATTTTTGCTGAATTAAACGTATTTCACGTTTTCCTTGAGAGGAAAAAGCCTCTTTTTCCAGGCTGAGGTTTGTTGTGTTTTGGGGCAGGTGTCTTTTAGTAAAAATAAAAATAAAATGTTGGGCCCGATGCTGTGAGGTGATGAGCATCTGCAATGACCACTGTAATCAGTGCGCACTTAGCAGGATCAAGTCCTTGATTTGCTGTTGAGAAAGATGTGCTTTTAAATATATATATTATTAATAACTGTAGAAATGGGGGTCATGATCCCATTACTCATGTGAATAATCCTGATTCTGTCTGACAGCTGCACTAAAGTCAACGAGAATACTCGGGTGAGTACAGATCACACTCAAATAGGACTTGATCTTGCTCCTATTGCAGCCAACAGTAAAAGTCCCCTTGGACATCAGGGGCCTATGGTCAGGCCAATAAGAAGCTGCACAGGATCAGTCCCTATGTCTCACAAAAACTGTATGCGAGCGTTGAATTTTGATAACTGGGGATAATTTTTAGAACATAAGTTAAAAAACATAATTTAAAAGAATAAATACTTAACACAAGGAGCAAATCAAATTAAAGTTAAAATTTGACAGAAAAGGATTAACAAAACAAATGTGGACTTGATCCTGCAAGACACAGCACATGTGCAGACTGCTCCACCACACTACTGACTTGAATCGGGCTCTGTCTCAGCACAGCAGTCTGCACACTACAAGTGAAATCTGGACCCATTGAAGCCAACTGGAGTTTTGCCACTGATTAAAATGGGGGCAAGATTTCACCCTACACATTGCAGGATGGGGGCCTAAAAGTTAATTTGAGATTCTGATCAGCCCCGTTCTGCAGTTCTTCTCACTGCTGTTTTTACATATGCCCTTCCTGGAGGTTTGCTCTGTAGCTCAGGCTTGCTCTGTGTCACTGCATGAGACCTCTCACTTCATATGTGGGAGATATATTTTTAATGAGCACATAATTAGTGCTCAACAAATAATAAATAACACATGCAATTGGCACACAGGGAATTTGTCTTTTTTGGCAACATGAAAAAGTTGTTCTTTCAATATTCAAGTCACTGGCGGCTCAGTCCTGCAAGACGCAGACTCACTTGGCTTGGTCTGGCAAAGCACTGACTCACACATTTAAGTCAAATGTCACATAAGCATCACTTTAAAATTAAGCAGATGATCAAGTGCTTTGATGGATCAGGCCATATGGAGCAGCACTTTGCAGGACTGAATCCTTGGAGCACAGCAATTTTTCTATGAAAAGTTTCAAGGTGTAGAATTATTTAAAAGAATAATCATTTAAAAGTACTATAACATACTAACCATGGAATGAACTCCATGCTATAAAAACAACAGTAATAGTTAGTACTTACCGAGTACTTCACACTTACAAAGCACTTTATCAACGTTAACTAATTAATGTTATAGGTCAGTGTTCTATCAAACTAAAGCTATTAGAACCGTCACCCATCCGGGATCTTCTAGCGATACCTAATCCTGACTAAGTGTGGGGTGATGGACTAGATAATCTCTTGAGGTCCCTTCTAGCCTTACAGGTCTTTGATTGTAATATTTTCGTTTCTGTAGAGCCTTTCATCCCAAAGCATTTAACAATCATAGACTTTAAGGTCAGAAGGGGCCATTATGATCGTCTAGTCTGACCTCCTGCACAACGCAGGCCATGGAATCTTACCCACCAACTCCTGTAACAAACCTCTAACTTATGTCTGAGCTACTGAAGTCCTCAAATAGTGGTGTAAAGACTTCAAGATGCAGAGAATCCTCCAGCAAGTGACCCATGCCCCACGCTACAGAGGAAGGCAAAAAAACCGCAGGGCCTCTTCCAATCTGCCCTGGGGGAAAACTCCTGCCCAACCCAAAGTATGGCAATCAGCTAAACCCTGAGCATGTGGGCAAGACTCACCAGCCAGACACCCAGGAAAGAATTCTCTGTAGTAACTCAGATCCCACCCCATCTAACATCCTATCACAGGCCATTGGGCATATCTACTGCTAGCAGTCGAAGATCAATTAATTGCCAAAATTAGGCTATCTCCTCCATAAATTTATCAAGCTTTGTCTTGAAGCCAGATATGTCGTTTGCCCCCACTGCTTCCCTTGGAAGGCTGTTCCAGAACTTCACTCCTCTGATGGTTAGAAACCTTCATCTAATTTAAAGTCTAAACTTCCTGATGGCCAGTTTATATCCATTTGTTCTTGTGTCCACATTGGTACTGAGCTTAAATAATTCTTCTCCATGGTATTTATCCCTCTGATATATTTATAGAGAGCAATCATATCTCCTCTCTGCCTTCTTTTATATTATATACATACAGCACTGGTCAAATGCAACCATCTCTGGGGTGGAAGCTGGCTGCCCCCTGCCAAACAGTGTACTGCAGAACTGGAAGCAAAATGGGAACTTTTGGCTAAGGACACCAGGATCTTTAATATTTTTGTAGAGCAGATGGGAACCTCAATTATTAAGGTCTTACAATAAAGATCCATTCACAGTAAACTACATGGAACTCTACTTCAAAAGGATGAAGCACTGTCCATGGCTGCTAAAGTGTCAATATTTCCTGCTTGAGAATTGGGAACAATCTCATGAGCTTCACAGTCCAAAGTTTCCACTGATGGGCAGTCATGGAGGTAAATTTACTTTTGGATAAATCTGTACACTTTACAGAGACTTCCCTTTTGTTGTAGTAATCCTTAGTATTTCCCACGTTATCTGTAAGTCACCACCTAAAAGATAAGATGACTAAACAGTAATGAAATATGGAGATTTCTGTCTCCAGATCACCAGTTCAAATTGGGGCCTATTTCAATATGCAAGTGAACATTATTAACATTCACTTGACGGGGGTTTGGTGGTCTATGTGAAATGCATTGTGAACCTCAGACCAGTTTGTATTGGAAAGATGTCCACATCACAAAAACCAGCATCCTAATTGGCACTATTGTTCACAAGCCAGGGTCAACTATGTATTCAGATCGACTCCAGGCACTCCTATGACCTTTTGATGATTTCTCCTGAATCAATGTAACTTTAAAAGTTTAAGCTAACTCATGTGCTATATCTGCCTCAACACTAAAGAAAAGAATCCATAATTCCTACGGGCCCAAGTTTAGCCTGAATGTACACCTGATGGAGTCTTAGTAACAGTAAGTAACAGAGAAAAAGGATTAAGTTAAGAGCCATCTGTTTATAAAGTTAGAGTGTTGGAAGGTTGTTTTCTTTAATAAATAGTCACAACTCCTGGCTTTTAAAGTTAAATTTTGTACCTGTTCACTCATGCTGTTAATTCCATCTGGCCCCAGCAAAGATATGGCCTGTTTAACTAGATCCGTTCGGCCGCAGTTCAGCATTCGGAATCCCAGATCCTGCTTGAATTTAGCTTCTGTGGCTACTGCATCCAGTTTTCGAGAAGCACAGAAGCAGTCGTCGATTCTGTGAATTGTGAGAAATAGCTACATCAGAGAACAATCAGAGGACAGACACCATCATTTATGGCATCACTGTTTCACTTTACCTTTGAATGACGCAGGTCCCCCGCCCACCACTCTCACACTGTCACCCTCTTTTGCCCTCTTGATATTCCTTTGAACCAGCTGCAGCACTGAAGTGCTGAATGTGAAATGCTAATGCAAGTTAATGGCTTTTATTGTTCATGTTGTTTACTTTAAGTCAGTTGAAAGGTAGCTTTTAGTCCATCTTTTCTATTTTCTCCTACTTACGTGCGTTATGAGAAACCATGTATATTGTTCTAACTGCACATTAGTTCTCCTCACCCGGGGAACAGTCCAAACCTTGTGACCCCTGCAAAATTCCCATCGACTTCAAGGGGCTTTGGGTCTGGCCCTGGGTGGAGATGGACTTTAATCATAGATGCTTAAACAAAAATAATAAAGTATCATTCCAAAGGCTTCACAAATGATATGAATTCAGCTCTGCTAAAAGATAACTCCTTCCGGGGCAGAAGGTGGCAGCTTGAGGACAATCAGTGTTCAGCACACTGCACACCAGAAGAGGACGACAGCAATTTTGGCCAGGCAACCAGGACAAACTTCCCACCCTTACAAGCAGTGCCATGGAATCTTCAGCGTTCACACTGAGTAGTTAAGACATCAGTTTTTATGGTCTTATTCAAAAGATCCTCAAGCAGCAAACTGTGGGGAGCTCAATGTATCTACCTCAGAAGGATGAAGGGCTGGGTGTATCCAGTCAGGATTTGAAGCTGCAAATCCAGAGAAGACAGGCATTTCATATCTGATTCTTACACAACTCAGCCTTATCTTTTTAAGGAAAAGATGTATTTTTCTTTGACGTTGATACATGTTTGGGAAGCGGTGGGGTGTGGAGTCCAATTTCTCAGCACTCTTTGGCCTGTACTCTGCTCTATAGTTGTAAGGGACAGCACCACTTGAGTTCTAAAGCCTTCCACTAACAGCAAGTCAGGAAGGAATGGAGTAATTGGGAATGAAGAGTCTAAATAAGGATCAAAAGGGAAAATGCCAAATGTAGATCTAGGAGTATTTTTATTCTAATAAATTACTTAATAAATATCAAAATAAAGTGATAAATCTTTGGTATCTATATAACAATTTTCATTGTACAGAATATAGAATAATAAAATAGAGAATGTATACTTCTACATAATATATGATTAAGGTTTTTGATTTTAGGTTTTAACGGATAAACACCAACACCCAGCCACCTTCCCCCACAAAAAATTAAATCAGTGTTTTTACAAAAAAAAACACCAAAAACAACAGAAATTGTTACTTGTATCTAAGGGCTCATCTACACAGCAGTAATGCAGATTGTGGGGATGTGATTTCTAAAGCACACTCACGGGTTGCTCATTAATTGGTCTGTGTAGACCCTGCTGGGGCACACCAAAGGTTCCCTAATGTATTTTAAAGTAGTGCTGTTTGAAACTGTACAACAGTAAAACACACTAGAGAACATTACAAAGAGATTTACTCATTACAGTATGTACAAAGAGAAAGCCCCATAACCCCCCCGATTTTAGGACATCTACATAGAACTAAAAAATTGATGCAGACACAATAAGCACTCGACAGTTCCATCATTACTCAATGGCACAAGGATGAAACTTTATCACAACAATGAATTTGTAAGATTACTTAAGATTACTGCAGAGCACACAATCACAGAAAATAGCAAGTAATGGCAATAACAGATTCTCCTGGAATAATATGCTTACAACACAGGTTAAAAAGCAAATCCATAATAAAACTGTCTTTGCACAATAGTTTGAGCCAATTTTAAAAAGCACAAACATGCAGGATTCAGGTCAACGACACTGAGATCTCTGGGAGCAATCGCTGCTTTACTAGTTCACACGGTATGCCACATGTTTGGCACAAACTACAGCTGCATTTGTTACTCATAACAAGGGCCCTACCAAATTAACAGTCCAATTTCACGGTCATAGGATTTTAAAAATCGTAAATTTCATGATTTCAGCTATTTAAATCTGAAATTTCACGGTGTTGTAATTGGAGAGGTCCTGACCCAAAAAGGAGTTGTGGGGTGATCACAAGGTCATTGTAGGGGGGGTTGCGGTGCTGCTACTCTTATTTCTGCGCTGCTGCTGGCGGCGGCGCTGCCTTCAGAGCCCGGCAGCTGGAGAGCGGCGGCTGCTGGCCGGGAGCCCAGCTCTGAAGGCAGCGCCGCCAGCAGCAGCGCAGAAGTAAGGATGGCACGGTGTGGTATTGCCGCCCTTACTTCTGTGCTGCTGCCTGCAGAACTGGGCCCTCAATCTGCAGTCACCATCTCGGCCACCCAGCTCTGAAGGCAGCAGCGCAGAAGGAAGGGTGGCATGGTATGGGATTGCCACCCTTAGTTCTGCGCTGCTGGTGGTGGGGTGCTGCCTTCAAAGCTAGACACCTGGCCAACAGCCGCCGCTCTCTGACTGTCCAGCTCTGAAGGCAACGCAAAAGTAGGGATGGCAATACCGCGACCCCCCTAAAATAACCTTGTGACCCCCTTGCAACTCCCTTTTGGGTCAGGACCTCCAATTTGAGAAACGCTGGTCTCCCCCGTGAAATCTGTATCGTATAGGGTAAAAGCACACAGAAGACCAGATTTCATGGGGGGAGACCAGATTTCATGGTCTGTGATGTGTTTTTCCATGGCCGTGAATTTGGTAGGGCCCGACTCATAACATCATAGCATAAAATGCGAGTGATTGCATGTGCAATATAAACATAAACATAATATAATATTTATTATAAAGATACTATGGGAGACTGGGTGTTCAACATATTTGTAGGAGATTGTGAACTTCTAAATTTTAGCTGAACATTTCCAGATTTTTCAGGCCTAACAGAATATGGTCCAAATGGCTGACAAACAGCCACAGAAAGATTTAGAAAATATCTTAAACCTGCAAAAGCATCTGCCACCAGGAATTACTGCTTACATTAAACTATTTCTTCACCATTTACACATATATGCATATAATAGGCAAACTAAATATACAACAGGCTAAATTCAATGCTGGTATACGCAGGCACAGCTCCACTGAAGTCAACTTAGTTTGGTGCATGCAAAGTATTACTAAATGGGCTTCTTCATAAAAGGATTAGGTATGAATTGCACTATACACTCACACAAGGCAATAAGGAGGAGCACAAACTTCTCTTACATCCCTATGTGGGTTACAAGTCCTGGAGTTTGGGGGTGTAGGAGTTAGTTATTCCTCCCCAGAATAGGAGATTGAAACCTGTGGTCCATCTCTCTAACAGCTGGCCAGTGCACCGGACCCAGCACAAGGGTGGAGGTCATAATTTACTCTTGATATAGACGGACCCAGCAGAAGGGTGGAGGTCATAATTTACTCTTGATATAGGCCATTGGCAAATTCTCACTGCTCTATAACAAGGAGGCAGCCAGGAAAGAATGGGGTCTCTGTCCGTGACTAGGGCTCTTTGGTACTACAGTAATATAAATAAAAGAATAGAATAAATAATAAAATAAACAAACAACAACAACAATAGTGACTCTGAGGTGTGTGTCTGAGTCATATTGACTCTGGGGGGGCTACTCCTGGGTGGTGCACATTAAACACCATTCTTTGCTTGGGGCTGTTGCCCAAATCTAAACACTTATTTTTTCCTGAGACATAGTGACAAAATATTCCTGAAGGAAAACTGGAGAAATGGGAACTGGCAGAACTACCATAAGGTGAGCACAAAACTGATTAGAAAAAAACAAGCTCAGTGTGATTATTGATGGTTCAATGCCTTGTGGTATCCTACAGAGGATCCATCACTAGTGCATTGCTGCATCCATGGCTAGTGGGGATTCTGGTTCCAGCTGCTGTAGCAGAGAGAAATATCTGCTAGAATCCCACAGACAGTATTTAATATTTTGACTCATGGCCTGGAGGAAAGAGTAGATAAATGGTCAAATTGGGGAGTGATTTTTTAAAAAGCAGGATGTGGGGAAGGGTAAATGCTTCCGAGGAGAAAATGTAACAAGATCTTGAAAAGTGAGAGTGATGAGTAGGTTGAAAAAAAATGAAATTCAATTATTATAAATACAAAGTAGTCTTAGAGACAGAGCAAAAATCAGGAAACACAAGTACAGAATAGGAGAACATTGGTAATACTGCCAAAAAAAAATGACATATGGATGGTCTAGTAGATGGAAAATGGAAAGGGAAGTGTAATATTTTACCAGAAATCCCCTAAAACACTACACGAACAAAAGCAAACAAAACAAACCCCAAGCAAACACAGTATTGAGCCCAATCTTGCAGTTCTCACTCATACAAGTAGCTGTATAGTCCCATTGAAATCAGTGGGACTATTCATATGAATAAACGCAGCAGGATTGAGGTCAATATTATGTTATATAAACAGAAGTTTAACAGAGAAAGACACTACAGTAATGGACACAGCATAGGAACCAAATAGAAGAGAACGTAAAATTAAGGAGGTAAGTGAGCCTGTACATGGCATACTACACAAGGTTTGCACACTGCTACAGGAAATATAGTGATGATTCGGAGAGGTCAGGAAAGAATGGCTAAAATACTAAAAATCTTGAAAAATACGACTTACAAGGAATGGTTAAGAGAGCTAAACATATAGGGTTATATTTTCAAGAGTTATATTTTTTCCTGTTTCAAGAACACCTTTATCTGTATTCCAAAAAAGGAGTACTTGTGGCACCTTAGAGACTAACCAATTTATTTGAGCATGAGCTTTCGTGAGCTACAGCTCACTTCATCAGATGTTTACCGTGGAAACTGCAGCAGACTTTATATACACACAGAAATCATGAAACAATACCTCCTCCCACCCCACTGTCCTGCTGGTAATAGCTTATCTAAAGTGATCAACAGGTGGGCCATTCTGAAATGCCAATGCAAACAGGACCAAACAGCCCAACTGCATGGCCAATTTATGGCTCTT